GTGTTTAACAGACCTGAAGAATCTCAGTCCAAGATCAGACTGGATTCAACCAGGAGACAAAGAACCAACTCAAAGTTTGATTTGTCAAACTGAGTGAAGTCAATCATCCGATTGAGCAGCTGATTTAATCTTTTAAGGAGAAGATTCATTTGAGGGAACCGTTCTGACTGAAAAATAAGAATGAGGACTGATGGAGAGATTTAACCCCCAACCCTGCCACCGGTAGTGCCTTGCTCTCCACCAGCAGGAAGGGAATCAAACCGAGTTTCTGAGTATAGAAATTAAAGATGGACTCTGTGATTGGCCGACTCGCGATCCTGAGCAGACGAACATGTTTGACTCCACTGATGGTTTGTTTGTGAAGGACTAAAGCAGACTGGAGGAATTCATCATGTACTGTATGAACAGACTGAAGCTGATATATGTGTATGTTATATCTTTGTATTGTTTTAATGCCAAATAAGAGAGTTCAGTGTCGTCTTCTGGTCAGGATGGAAAACGTCTTCAGCGGGCACATATTGTATCACTTCCTGTTAGTATAAAAACTAAAGTATGTTGATTTCTTGTATATTAACTGCAGAAACTACTAAACTCTTCTGTAGTGATGATCGTTGTCATTCCCAGGCCGTCAAATACCATCGCACAGGGTACATCTGAACCAGACGCCAAGGGGTGCGTTTGCATGAGACACAGAGGCGGCGTGATAAAGCGTTGGTATCTGAAGACCGGGATGAGAACAGACTGTGATTGAATATCAGTATGTAGGTGACACACAGCAGAGTGTTTGAAGGCTCTTTGGATGATTTTCTTCTTCTCTAAGTCTGAAACTCAGCAGACCTTTGGTTCACAGAGTCCTCCACCGAATCGGTCTGACTCAAAATGGACTAAATCGATGGATCTTCTTCCTTCCTTCCGCCTACATTACCCACAATGAAACTCCAGCGCAGAAAGTTTTATGATAGATTGTGGTGTCTTATGCTAGTAGTGACTAATGTATCCTGCAGCAGAGATGAGGAGCAGCCACAGTCTGGACTGATTTCATCAATATTTTCTTCAAACTTGTTGTCTTCAGCCGACGCTGACTGAAGTGACATCACTTTTTAAGTTTTTGATTTCAGTTTCTGATCCTGTTTATTGTTCTGACCATTATTCTGAAACCCATATGTCCCATTTGTCCGACTGTTATCCCAAAAAGGCCAGAACAAAAAGATTCAGCTTGTGGTATTTTTGGAGGAACGTAGTTTGCACTGGAGGGACTGGGTAATGCGATGTCGGACAAATTGTTGGACAGTGAAAACAAAAATATCATCAGACAGACTACATACAAAGTCTGAATATATCTGAAGATGCTTTTCCACATATGTATATTACTAATTTGTACATTACATAAGCCCGATGTGAGTGTGGATGAAGAAACTGGTTCCACTGGTTTTAATGGTGACACACTGTGAAGAGTTTGACCTCTGATGTTGTTCAGTTGTACATTTAAATGTAATGTGTTATTGGACACTGGTGGAGTTTATTTAACCAACTGTAGATTTATTCTCTGTGGCGTCACTGGATTTTATTATTTGGATTATATTACGGCCTCTTTATACATTAACTTATTTTATTAAACATAAATGTTCCTGTTTTTATGTTTTTAAACTGTGACCCCCCCCTCTCCCTCTTAGAGTCAGGGTCTCTGTATTCTGCTCCAACGGACCATTATTCCAAAACCACAATAGTCCGAATAGTCCTTTTCTCTTGTAACACACGAAGTCTCTTACTGCTGCACTGCTGCATATGCTGACTGTACTGGCTGCGATTAGCTAGTTAGCGGTCCTATTAGCTGACTGTACCTTGGATTGCTGGGGAAGGTTTGTTTACAACACTGGCACAGGAGCTAGCTTAAGAGAGAGCACCAGAACTGGAAGGGGACTGACTCCAGGGACGACAAAGACACAGCGGTTTAAGCGGGAACATGAGAGGGGTGAAAGAAGGAGAGTAACGTTATCCATCATCCATCGCATCGATCAGTCAGGATTAGTTTCAGTGAAGTTGGAAGTTATTGAACAACCAGACTGTGTGATGTTACACTGTGTTACTGCTTGTTCTGATTCACAATCACTGAATAGGCCGCGTTCATACATAGAGATTATAATCATTACATTCAGATCAGAAACATGCAACATTAGCCAGCTAATGCTTTTAACTAACGTGTCTTCAGAGCAGTGGCAGCGTTTGTTTCCTGGATAACGGTCTGTTGAACAAATGGGATGTTTATCGGACTGTCGGGGCCGGAATAATGGGCTGTCCCTCCACAACCGTTTGACTCACTTTATATGTTCAGACGTGGAAGAAAGAAAACTCATCCAGTACTTCAGTAAAATACTTTTTTTCTCACTTTTACTTTATTAGAAGTGCATGTCACCCCCCCACCCCACGCCACCCCACCCTGTTTCCTGTCCATCTTCAGCTAATAAAGGGAAAACGTCCTCTCATAACTCAGTGTAACTGGTCCTAGTGTGACAGTGGTCAGACTGGATGATGAGTGTATATATTCACTATCTGTTGTACATTATTCTATGAAGCTGTTTCTCTCCCTATTGTTCTGGAGGCTTTCATGTACATGAAGGATGATATTAAAATATATTTTTGGTTTCATAATCTGCTCTTTAACTTTCTTTATTGTCCTTGAAGGAAAGTCTGTGTGTTTATATGTTTGTGAGGACATAATCCAACTTCCTGCAGTTATTGAGTTCAATGTTTGGGTTCATTGATCAGTTGATCAGCTGTTCTCTGCTGTTATTGATATTGATCAATATGAAACATATAGTCAGTTTAATGACTGATAGTTTAATTGTTTCACTTAAGTTTGATATAATAATAATAATAATAATAATAATAATAATAATAATACATTAACAATAGTTTAACCTTTGTTTTTAATGACCAACACAGTTAGGAGTGTATTTACAGTCTCTGTGCTCACATGGACAGGTAACACACCTGAGGGATTAACAGTCACGCGCCTCTGTGGCTGTTTCCTGTTCATTTTGACTTCCTGTGAAGGTTGAACGTTGTTTTTCCCAGCTGAAGGTAAAGGAAGTCTTTTTAAATGTTGAAGCTGTGGTTAGTTTAGTTTCTCTGTTGTTCATTCACTGACTTTAACTGTAAACTGCTCCAACAACCGCCGGTAAAACTCTGCACCATGTATCCGCCTGTGAGCCACTGAATGCGGCTGCACTCTGTGGCAGAGTGCCGCTGGAGAACCGCAGTTTGTGGTCTGTGATGATCCTGACTGCAGACAGCAGGAAGGAGCTCTTTCATTAGGCTGATTAGATAAATAGGTAAGTGAGTCACTAATGAGCTAGTGTCGCTTCTTTATGTCAGATTCAGATAAGATAAAATGTGCCTTTATTGATCCCTGTACAGCAGCACAGATAAATGTAGTGCAAATATTATTTGACTTCACCGCAGTTATCAGTTTCTAAAATGTAGAGTGCAATCTAGGAGCTGCAGAAGTCAGTTAGAGTCATTCAGGTGAAACTTTGACACAAAGATTGTCCACTCCTTGTGTCAAAGATGATGAGACATTGTGAGACGTTTAGTGCTGTTGGATTGATTGAATATTAAAGGAAGAGCAGCTTCCTGTCAGACTCAGGCTGCGTTTCATTAGTAGTTC